CCCTGAGGGCTGGGAGACAGAATGGAAGGTAGTGAAGTGTGCTCTTTTGTGGTGTTGTCTAAAGCAGTGGTTCTCAAAGTCTGGATCCAGGACCACCAGCAGCAGCATCACCTGGGGACTTGTTGGAAATACAAATTCTTGGCCCGACCCCTACCGATTAGAAACTCTGGGGGGTGGGGCCCCTAATCTGTGTTTTAAACATTACCATCAGGTGATTCTGACACACACCCAAGTTTGAGAACTACCTACTGGTTTAAGGACTGGGTGGTGTAATAACGCAAAGGTTGGTGGTAGGAACCCACCCAGAAAGGTGCCTGGTAAGAAAGGCCGGGTGATCTGCCTCTGAAAGGTCACTGCCTTAAAAATCCTAGGGAGTGAAGGTCCACTCTGACACACATGGGGTTGCCATGAGTTGGAGCTGACTGGATGGCAACTGGTTTGTTTTTTTTTCTGTTCGTTTGATCACTAACATCCTTGGCTGATGTGAGCAACCCCCAGAGGTGATACAAAAGGCTGGTTTCCTCCTCAGCCAGTCAAAAGGACTTCCCCTTCTCCTCCTTTCCCTCCCCAGGCCCCAAACCCACTGCTGTTGAGTCAATTCTGACTCAGGTCAAAACAACAGGACAGAGTAGAACTGCCCCATAGGGTTTCCAAGGAGCAGCTGGTGGATTCGAACAGCCGACCTTTTGGTTAGCAGCCCAGCTCTTAACCACTATGCCCAAAGTGGTCAGTAAGTAGAGGATGTTTTCAAGGCTGATAGTGGGGTGAGTGGTGACAAAGACTCTGTTCCAATGCACTTCCCTACCTCCAAACTCTGAAGATGGGGCCAGAGTGGCAGACTCCGATATCAAAACTGTCTGTAGGGCATGAGGGTCCTGGGGGCACGTTACAGAGATCTCACTCTCTGCTCCTGGGTGGTCAAACGGTTAAGCACTCGACTACTAACTGAAAGGTTGGTGGTTCGAACCCACCCAGAGGCACCTCGGAAGACAGGCCTGGAGATCTGCTTCCGAAAGGTCACAGCCTTGAAAACTCTAAGGAGCAGTTCTACTCTAACACGTGGGGTCATCAGTCAAAGTCAACTTGACAGCAACAGGTTTGGTTTGCCCCTCCTCCGTGCCACCTTGGGCCCCTCTGGATCGAAATGCTGTGCACAGGGGTGGGCAGGCTGATGAGATTCTACGCTACGAGCGTCCCAAGACCAAAACCACACTGTTTCTATCCCGGAGCCCCAGCAGCACAGGCGAGGGGAATGAAAGCAGGAAAAGGCTTCACCTGAAGGCGAGGTGGTGGCTCTGTGGATTCATGGGGCAGGGAAAGGTATTTCCTGTGTCCTTGCCAGCCTGTGTCCCAGAAAATGACTTCCACGCAGCATGACATTCCACCCTCAGGTTGAGGGCTCTGAGAGCTGAGGGATGGTCCCCGCCCACTTGGGCAGCTCTGAGCAGGGGTGGTGTCACCTGAGATGGTGGGCTGGGCTGTTTCCTATGAGCTATGGTCCCTCAGGCTTGAGGCTGTCTAAGCCACTCTGCCAGGAGGCCCGGCTGTCAGCCTGAAATAAGCCATACTTCTCTGCCGACTGCAACCTCGCGGGGCAGCTGGCGCCTCGGCCCTGATGGATGGCTCAGTGCAACCTGGGAGGGGGTGTGAGGCGGCCCCCTAAGGGGCACTTTGTTCCTGAATGTCAGCCTGACAGCTTATTACACAGAGATAGAGAATGGGAGGCTGGTTCCATCTGCTGGGGGCGGCGTGGCAAAAGCCATTACTAGTGACTAGCAAATCTCTTGCCTTCTCTAAGCCTTAATGTCCACATCTGTAAAATGGGGGAAAATAACACCCTTTTATTACCATAATATGAGATAATGCACTTACAGTGATTCAAACGTTCTGTGCAAGCACATAGTTGTCCCTCAGTAAACACAAGTAGTCCCTGGACACCCCCACCCCAAATGGCTACGCTAAGGGGCTGCTGCAGTTGGGGCCAGACTGTTGGGGAGGGGGCAGGGAGAAAAAGAACGGTAGCAAACATTTTCAACAATGGATCCTCTCACCAAAGGCTGAGTTTTTTCTCCTCCTCCCCAAAGCACTCACCATCTGGGGGGCTTGGGGATGTACCATTCCCTCTCAGGGTGTCTGTGAGCGGAGGGGAGGGGAAGGGGAAGAGCCGCTTGATGCATTCAGAATGGGAACGGGCTCTCCCGACCTGTGTGGGGTTCAAGGCACCTGATGTGTCCTGGATGTACAGGAGTCTTCTGCCTACACAGGACGATGGTGACTTTCAACAGGAATGTCCTCTCTCCCTGAGGATCCGATGACTGGGGTAGCCCCAAGCAGGGGCCTGGGGGAGGAGCTGGTCCTGGTGCAGGCGTGCATCTCGCTGGCAGGAGGGGCACACCCACTGGATATCGCCTCCTTGGCTCGAGACCCCGGCCCTTTTGTGCCCCTTGGCAGTGATCTGTCACATCTGGGCCTACACTTCCTCCATCCCTGTCCCATCTTCCAGGCTGTTGGCATGAACAAGGAGGTCATGTTTCCAAAAAGTTCTGGGCTGTTCTCTCACACTCTGCGGCTTGGACCAGCCATCCCCTCAGTGGCTGTCTAGGCTGGATGATGCCCAGAGCAGAAATCACAGCTAATTCTGCTGGCAGTCACACCAACCCAACCCAACACGTGGGGCTGGGGGCAGAGGAGTCAGGCTCTCCTATACCCCCACCCACCCACTCACACACACAAGGCTGTGCAAAGGATGCCTTCGGATTTTTCTCTCTTCCAGTTGCTGTCAAGCTGATTCTGACTCACGGCGACCCCATACGTTTCAGAGTAGAACTGCACTCCATAGGGTCTTCGATGGCTGTGATCTTTTGAAGGAGATTGCCAGGGCTTTCTTCCGAGGTGCTTCTGGGTGGACTAGAAACTCCAAACTTTCGGTTTAGTAGTGAAGTACTTAACTGTCTGCACCACCCAGGAACTCTTTCGGATTTTAATTTCTGGCCTATGACACTCTGTGTCCTATCTCCATGAGCCTGGCTGACCTCCGTGAAGGGCTAAGGGGACCCACCAGGGGCAGACACGTGTAAGGCCACAGCACTCCCTGCCCACAGCCCGAGGCACCTCAGCAGGAAGAACATGCTCTCTAGCCCAGCAGCCCATTCTCTTTTCAGCCCTCACTCCGTAAGACTTCTTAGTCTGATTAAGCCTTTCACGGAGCTTGTAAGTCATGCTTATTTTTGGATTATCTGCACGAATCCCAGGAAGTTGGAGGGTAGCAAACAAAACCATTTCTTTTGGCCTTGGTGCAGTCTGTGGTTGCTGGGAGAGCTGGTCTCCCTTCTTCATGACTTTGCACTGGCAACCTCTCCAAGCAGACGAGACAAAGCAGGCCAGGTTCCAAGAAGCCCTTGGGGAATTCCCAGAGGAGGCTTTCCTCCCCGATAGCCCAGCCTTCCGCCTGTTCACGTGGATAATGCCTGTTCTGAGGATGTGCAGTTTCTGCACAGTTCAGGCCTATGCTGGGGACAGGCAGTGAGTGACCTGGGGTGGGAGAGAGGACACCCAGGACCAACCTGTGCTCATCAGACTGTGTACTAGATCAAGTAGGAGGCAAGGTCTGACCTTTCTTGGCCATGGTCTTAGCCTTTTCATGGGGTGGGAAGTACATGGTCCAGGGTACCCCAGGACCTGGGAGGTATGGAAGCCAGGTGTGGGCTTGCACCCCACTTGTCACAGACATTTGGAGGGGCACTATGGTCCTCTTATGAGCTGATACCTGTTCTTTAGAAAACTGCCAGCATCTAGACTCTATTTTCTAGATAGATTCTCCTTTTGTTCTCCTTTATTCGAGAGGATTTCCTGGGTAGTGCAAATGGTTAACATGCTTGGCTGATAACCAAAAGGTTGAAGGTCTGAGTCCACCCAGAGGGGCCTCGGAAGAAAGGCTGGCGATGGACTTCTGAAAAATCAGCCATTGAAAATACTCTGGAGCACAGTTCTACTCTGACACAAGGGGGTCATCGTGAGTCTGAACTGACTCAAAAGCAACTGGTTGAAAATCCTCTGCCTAATTCAGTGGTGCAAGAGAGAACCAACTGCATTCACTCTGGAGCTGGTGGGAACAGGAGCAGAGGTGGCCCTCTGTGAGGCAGCATGGGTGACCATGTGGTCAGGGTGAGAGGACCTGGGAAAGTGAGGCCCAGGACAAAGCACCTCTCTACTCAGAACTTCACCTCCCCAGTGGCTCCAACATTTTGGGGTCCGTGATTTGGTCTCATTGAGAAGATTTTTACATCCATCAACATGTAACAGCTGAAGATGGTTTTAAAATCTGGCATTCCTGAGAATCAGGCCATGGAGCAGGGGATCCCCACGGGGCACGGTAGTAATCTACTGTACTGCTACACTGGAGGCTGGGGCTTGGGGCCATGCCCCCTCGTTGGAGCTCTCTGGGAAAAGCCTCGAAGCAGAGTGCAGGGCTCTGTTCCCAATGCAGCAGGTACTGGAGTAGCCAACTTTCCTCCACCTTGCCTGATGCCCATCTGCCCTGGTAGCCTCACTCAGCCTACAGCCCATTGCCAGCTCCTGGGCGGCCTCACCTTGGGACTCCACTCCCAGATCAAAAGGAAGGAACAAGGCTGTCAGGACATCGCTCTCTAGATGAGGGGACTTTGGGCAAAGATGGCAGATCAAAGCTGCTAGGTCTTTGGGAAAAGAGCCAGTTCTAATTGATACATTTCCCAGAGGGGAGAGCAAAGCTCGCACAGCCTGCAGCAGAGGCCGATAGGGTTAGGGCTCCTCAGCTCAGGTGGGGCCACCTCCCCTAAGAAGGAAATCTACCACTGGAAGCAGGAGTCCCAGAGGGACCGAGGGGTTCCGCCCTCGATTCCACGTACTGGAGCCGGAGAGAGCAGAGTGCCCAGCTCTCACCCTCCAAGTCCACAGGAGCCTGGCAGGATCTCCATTCCCTGCCCACCAGGTCTGACAGTGAGCGCTCAGCGGTGGTGGGAGGGGCTGAGGGTCCCTGGTCTAGGCAGGAGCAGTGGAGCCGTGTGTGGTCTCAGGCACTTCGTGGTTCCCAGGGGCTGGGCACAGAGTCAGTGGAGTCTAAGGCCCTAGTTGAGCTGATGCCGCTCTCCAGGCCTGGCAGAGGGGATCTGGGCATCTGTACTTGGAGAGGCAGTAGGAGGGGACAGGGTGGCCATTAGTAAAAATGCAGCTGGAGCCTCCGGTGCAAGCAGCAGGTGAGCACCATCCCGCAGATCTGCCAGGTGGAGACAGGAGAGGAGCAAAGAGCAATCAGAACCCCATTAAGCTGCCGCCCGGCAGTGCCCTAGCCCAGTGTTTCTCACACTTCAGTGCACACGAGAACCTCCACCCGTGGACCTCGTTAAAGGGTAGATTCCTGCTCAGTCGGTGGGGGGTGGGGCCTGGGACTGTGCATACCTAACAAGCGCCCAGGGGGTGGGGGCCTAGCGGCCACACTTTGAGAAACCACTAAGAGCAGAGCTTCTCACACTTCAATGTGCACGAATCGCCGGGGGACCTTGTTAAACCGCAGATTCCGATTCGGCAGGCCTGTCTGGGTGCGCGCCTGAGACTCTGCATTTCTAACAAGCTCCCAGGTGATGCTGGTGGTCTGTGGTCCTAGATCTTCTCGTGAGATGACCTGATTTAATTAGGTCCCTAGGGGTAATGTTTCCACTCCCTCATTACAGCTGTCTGAAGCAGTCTTTTTCTCTAGGAGTCTGTCTGCATCTTACTGCCCTCAGACCTCAGAGCAAAAAACCAAGGTCCATAGTCAATCCTCTGGCTGATTTGCAGAAGCCATGGGGAAACTGAGGCTCTAAGAGGGGCAACCAGAGCTGTCACCAGCCCATCCTGTAAATCAGCTTGGAACAGGGCACCAAGCCCAGGCCCTAGGCATCTTGCCTCGCAGCCCTCTTCTGCATCCAAGAGCCGAGCAAGAAGGGGCCAGCAGCACCTGTCCAAACACACACGCGGTGTTGGGAAAATCACTTTTTCCCCTGGGGTGGTCTCACGTTTCCCATTTCTAACATGCAGAGAATCTTTATTCCTCCACCTTGCTCTTTATTTGTCCTCCTCCTTGCCTTCCCTCCCACCCAAGGAGATGAGAGACCTGCCAGGTCTCTGGAGAGAAGACCAAGGAGCCCATGGCTGTGATCCTGACCATGACAATGACATGCCATTGGGTCTTGACTGCCCACAGGAAAGGGAGTGCTGATGTTAGGGAAGGGGGAGATGGGGATGAGGGTGGACTTTCCAAGTACAGGAAACAATACCCCAAATGACTGCTGCTGATCTGGTAGTGCCAGAGCAACTCTGGATGCATGTGGAAAGCTCAAACCCGTGCCACTGTGGGGAGGTGGACAGGCTGGTGAAGATGCTCAGGAGCTAGTGAGCATTTTGCTTCTCTTGGCAAGGCTAGCTTAAGGAAGTCTCATAGGATGAGCCCATCTTCCTCCTCCTTCCTCTCTCCTCTCCATCCAACCCAACTTGGGATGAGATGTGAGGACAGTGGAGACCTGTGAATGCAGTTTTCAGCTTTCAACGTTGGTGCTAAAAGTGGTGTTAATCCACCTCAGAGACTCAGAATCACAAGCTGGAAAGCGGTTAAGAGGTTATCTCATCTCCCACTAGCTTTAAGCAGGTGGCTCTCACAACCTTCCACCCAGGTGTCCTGCAGCATGCCCTGTCCTTGTCCCCTTGACATCCTGTGGGGTTCTCTGGATGTTTCTGATCCTTGCTAAGGGAAACCCCAGAAAGGAGATGTTGGACCAGACAGACTTGGTTGCAATGACTGTGTCCATATTCCCTAGAGTGTACACCTCCTGCTGGAGAGCACTGGCAGGGCTGAGTGCCCCAGCATGCACACTTTTGTACGAGATGTGTTTCCAGGGTACCTCCCAGGGAGGATGCTCTCACCGATGTGTGTGCACATGACATACATACACGTGCATGTCCATGTGCAGAGGGGAAAGAATGATCTCATCCATGTATGCACACGTGTACCCACACACACACAGGTGCACACACACCCCACACTGATTCATGCAGAGAGGTAATGGATGCTCTCATCAATGCGTGTGCACATGTATACACACCACATACACAAACGTGCACAGACACCATTCTGATTCGTGCAGAGAGGTAAGGGACACTAACCCACCAGATCCTGAGTAAGCATCAGCATCTTTCTCCTGACAGAGGACCCAGAAAAACCAGACAGCATGGAATGCTCCACGCAGCCAGCCCGGGGCTGAGCAGAGGCACACATGACAAGTTAACTGCAGGAGCCAGAGACGGCAGCAGGTGGGGTCGGGACTGGCTGCTGGAACCCAGACTGCCTGGATGCAGCCCAGAGCCCACACGGGGGATATTTTAACAGGCAGCTGCCACGCATTTAGCTTTTTACAGGTTTTCTGAGCCAGCACCTAGCTGTCATCAGTGAGCATCAAGGAAGGGCCAGGGCTCTGGGAAGTCATTCCAGACCTCTTTTGGTTTCCCTTTTCATAGCCAGCAGATCCCTTGTGAGTTTCCTGGGCTCTGAAATATGTTTCCATCCTATATACGTGGGAATGTTGGGATGGTGGTGGGCTAGCTTCTTGCACCAATGGCTGTGTGACCTTAGGCACAGTTATATCCCTCTCTGAGCCTCAACTGCCCCCTTAATCATAAGGAAAACCTCCAGTCTGTTCCCTGGTGAGATTCTTTAGAAATTAAGATGACAGTCTAAAGGAACGAACAGTACCACACTCACCCCGTCCTGGGACCTGCAGTGTTGAATAAGCTAGAAATTTAACCAGCCCCACCTGCCCCTGGAGCCTTGGAGAGGCCAGGCAGTACTCCCCACTCCACATTGGTCAGCCAGGGCTGCTCCCTCACCCTGGCACTCTTCCCCCTTCTGCTACTTCTCCTGTTCAACTCCTTCAAGTTTTAATTACATCATTTCCCTGAAAGCCTTCCCTGCCCATGACTGCTTAGTGACTTGTAGGTGTGTCCCCAAGCCCCAGAGCTCACCCTAACCCAGCCCCTCTGCCTGCACTGTAACTGCTGGGCACCTGTCTGTCTCCTCCCCTCAAATGAAAGTGCCCTGGGAGAGGGGACTACCTCCTGCCCACACTGGGGTGCCTCAGCACTGGGCACAGCCTGGCACATGCAGGCACTCAGTACAAGGCAGACAGACCACTTGCCCCTCAGCCTTCTCAGCACTGCTCGTGAGACTCTGGGAGCCATAAGAAAATGGGGCTAGGCCACTAGGTCCTTTGTAGTAAGAAATCTCCCAGCCAAAACATTCTGGAAATTAACTTCCAAAGTTACCTCAAAGCGGAGTGCCTCCAGAGCCCACCCACAAGAGGGCAAACTGTAGAGCAGGGTTCGTTCGACCTTTAGCAAGTGACTTTGTATGGCTGGGCTTGTCGTCCTCGGATGTGTATGAACAAGGTGGGCTTAGTGGGTCTCAGCCCTGAATGCACATTTGGGTCACCTGGGTGGGGAGGGGGCTTTAAAAAAAATCTCCATGCACAGGCCTCATCCCAGACAATGTACACGAGCATCTCGGGAGGTGGGCCTGAGCAGGATTTTAAACCTGCTGTGTAGCCAGGGCAGAGCAGCACCAGCCTAGATGATCCATAAGGTCCTTCCAGGTCCACGGGTCTATGATTTGGGGGTACACCTTGAGATCCCGATTGTCCCCTCCAGGTCGGAAACTCCCTCCAGTATAGTGAGTTCCACAAGGTGGGACTGAGGAGTCCTCAGGTTCTTGCTAAAGTGAACAAGTGCGCTCCCAGAATGTATAACCTCAGAGTGGAAGGGACTGCTGGGCTACTGCGCCTAGCAAGGGCAGGAATTCTCCCAGCATCTTGCTAGCCCCCAACCTCTGCTCCAACTTGTGGTGGCAGGGAGTTTAGTACTCTGCAGGGAATGCTGATTGGCCAATCATAATTGTTAAAATGACCTTGAATCCTTCTCCTTGTAAATCCTACCTACTGTTCCTGTTCTGTCCTCGAGCCTCCCAGAAGTCCACTCCCTCTCCCACGTGACTGCTGTTGGCTGTTTAAAGACAGTGATGGTACTGTCTTCTCCCAGGTAACCGTTCTGCATCCCCTGACCTCTCCCACATTCAATTTCCAGGCCCACTTAGCCCTTGTTGCTCCCTCTGGGCCAGTGGTTCTCAACCCTAGCTGCACATTAGAAAAAAAACCAAAACAAACTGGTCGCTGTCAAGTCAATTCCGACTCTTGGCGACCCCATGCGTGTGAGAGTAGAATTGTGCTCCAGGGGGTTTTCAATGACTGTGATCTTCAGATCTTTTTTCCAAAATGTCTCTGGGTGGGTTCGAACTGCCAGCCTTTTGGAATCACTAGGGAAGCTGTACAAATACACTGATGCCTGGGTGCCAACTTCAGACAACTTTATTTAATCGTTCTGGGGTATAGCCTGGGCCTTGGGCAGCTTGTAATGCTCACCTGGTGATCCCAGTGTGCAGCTGAGCTTGAAGACCACTGCCCCGGAGGCTCTCCAGAGATGTGGTCCCTCCTGGAAGGTAGGTTGGATCAGAACCTTAATGTGGCCTGACTGGACATCACCCTGGCTCTCACCATTTCCTCCAGCGCAGACCCAGGTTGCATTTGCTTGGGTAGCACCCATCACGTAACTCAAGCCAGATGCCCTCTGTCTGTATTACAGGCTTGATTTTTTTTTTTTTAACTTAAATGCAAGGACTTAACTCTGTTAAATGTTATAACTGTGGTTTCAGCACTTCTTTCCCCCTCCATCAAGCAGTTTTTCAAACCTGGCTTTATCATTCAGCAAACCAGCTATCCCTGCAGACTTGGCTAGATATCAGAGTTGGTTAGCATACTTCCCGAATCTTTATCAAAATCACTGAGGAAAATGTTGAAGAGACAGGTCTGAGGCTAGAACGCCACAGACCGCTATTGGAGACCTTTCGCCAGGCTGCCATTAATCCACTCATCTATCCTCTTGCAGTTAGGTTATCCAACCCTCCACAATGTCTCCTAAGCATATTAGTGCCTGGTCCACATGTCCGTGTGACAACAAGTGACATGCTGTCAAATATCTGGCTGAAACAAGGGTTCATTATGTTCACTGCATTTTCTGTTTGGTTTTCAGAATGTTCAAAAACCAACTGCTTTTACATTCTAGAACAGTGCAGGACATCAATCTCAAGAAAATTGGTCACTGAAGTATGATCCTTACCAGAAAATCATAGAATACTGGAGCTAGAAGATTCCTTAGAGATGGGCTAGACCAGCAGTTTTCAAACCGTATTTGAAACCCAAAGTGTAGCTCAGGGACGCGGAGAGTAGTGAGGGGAAGGCCCTCAACTAGATTTGTCTCCAGGCCCCAACTCCTGCTTTAATTAGAACATGTTATGTTTAACGTACTGGGCTCCTGTGTGAGATTTCCTCTGATAAGAGAAGGGTGCTGTTAAAAGAGGCTTGAACCTCAACAGTATGGCCCCCGGAAACCCTTACAGCTCAGTAATGAAGTCACTCCTGAGGTTCACCCTTCAGCCAAAGATTAGACAGGCCCATAAAACAAAATGAGACCAAATGGGCACAACAGCCCAAGGGCAAAGACAAAGACAGGAGGGGACAGGAAAGTTGGTTAATGGGGAACCCAAGGTCAAGAAGGGAATAGTGTTGACACATCATGGGGTTGGCAACCGATGTCGTAACGCAATATGTGTATTAATTGTTTAACGAGAAACTAATTTGTTCTGTAAATCTTCATCTAAAATACAATTTAAAAAAAAAAGGCTTGAAAATGGCGAATCCAGTCCAATCTCTCCATTTTACAGAAAAGGAAGCTGAGGCTCAGAGAGTAAACATGACTTCCCAAGGTCACGACTTGTCAAGCAAGTAACAGAACTACATCTAAATTTCAGGCCCTCTGATTTCCTCCAGTTGCTAGGGAGCAGGGAAACATAATGGTACCATCTTGGGTTTATATTTCCTGAGTCTTAGGAGGTCTTTGATGTGCCAGGCCTTCGTGTGTGCAGGAAGTACCAGGCATGCTCTGGCTGGGAGGATGACTGACTGAGAGTGGGGAGGCCTGGTGTGAGCCCTTCCTCAAGGCTGTCGACCTGGAGGACTTGGGAGGCTTCCCAGCGTCGGCCAGCAGAGGGAGCCCTAACACAAGGCTTGGCCACGACAAGGCCAGATCAGCAGAATGGAGGGGAAACAACCGGGCAAGGGGTTGCAACCCACAGCCTTGGCCAGGTGAAGCTCTCTCTCAGGAACACTGGGTGCAATTCCACAGTGAGCCCTGGAGGAACCGAGACTTTTCAAGGTGGAGGGCTGTGAGTGGGGAGGTGGTATCTGTGGGCCTGAAGGTACACTGCCCAGTGGCAGCCCTCCTGGGCCTTGGACTTATATACTGCAGACGTTATTCCACCGTGCCCTTAGGTTCAGTCCTCTCTCTGCCCTGAGCCTCACTGCCCTTTTTATTTGCAGCCTCTACAAGCTCTCGAGGCCAGTGGGGTAAGGAAGAAATAGAGTGACCCAGGCTTGGCCCTGTCCATACAAAGCAGGCTCCCTCAAAGCTGACAGTCAATAGCAGGTTTCCACAGAGCAGCCCCTTCCCCAGCTCTGACTGGAGAATCCTCCGGGGTTCAGCCTGCGAGACAGAGGCCTGCCCTGGGGAGGTACAAAACAGGGACAATGCCCAATGCCACATGGTGCTCCCTGGCCCTGAATGTCAGTGAAGGTGAAGAGGACCATGCTGGTCGGGCCAGGGCATGAGGGCTTTTTTTGAGAGACAATATGCCCAAGTAGAGATGATAAAAATAATGACGGTGCCATTTAAGAAGCCCTAGCGGAGCAATGGTTAAGTGCTCGGCTGCTAACCAAAAAGTTGGGGGTTCAAACCGACCCAGTGGCTCTGCAGGAGAAAGACCTGGCAATCTGCTCCCATAAAGATTACAGCCTAGGAAACCCTGTGGGGCAGTTCTACTCTGTCACATGGGGTTGCTATGAGTCGGAATCGACTCGAGGGCCCCTACCACCGCCACCATTTATTGAATACCTGCTGTCTGCTTGGTGATGAGCCAAGTGCTTTACCAAATCTCTCTAATCCTCGCAATGAGCCATCAAACTTGGAGTAATTAGACCCATTTTACAAATGAGTAACTGGGGCTCGGAGACGAAATAACCTGCCCTGGGTCACACAGCTCATAGATGGCAGAAGCAAGATGGGTCTCCCTCCAGAGACTGAGGGTGCTCCTCCCAGTAGTCTAGGCTGCATCTAGCCCTCCAGGCCCACAGACCAATGTGGGTAGGCAGCATGGTGATCTAGAAGTTTCCCCAAGCCAGTCGACACCACCATCCCTACTTCTCTTGTCCTGAAACACTGTGTTGGGGTAGAGAGTTTGGAAAGCAAAGGAGCAAGAGCCAGGAGACTTGGGTGCCAGTTTAGGGTATGCCTCTTTGTCAGTCACCTTCCTGGGTCTGTTTTCTGATCTGTAAAATGGGGAGAACATGATTACTTGCCTGGCCTCGGTCTCAGGCGGTTGCGAGGATCCGCTGAGAGAAAGTATCTGAAAACACTCTGATGTCTAGATATCTGGATAAAGACAGCTTCTACTCTGAGGGCTTAGCGCCTGCTAGGTGCTGTAAGTGGGTCACGTGCATTGCCTCATTCTTATTTAGACAATTAATTAATTAGGCAATTATCCTCATTTTTTTTCAGGTGAGGAAGTTGAGGGACAGAAAAGTTGAGTAACTGCTCAAGGTCACACAGGAGCAGAGCCAGGAATGAACTCAGGTCTTCTGATGCCAAAGCCACTGCTCTTACCTTCCCTGCTGTTGTTAGCTGCCGTTGGGTCGGCCCCTGACTCATAGTGACACCATCCACAACAGAATGGGACACTGCCTGGGCCTGGACCATCCCCACGGTCGGCTGCATATCAGACCAGTGTGATCCATAGGGCTTTCACTGGCTGATTTTCGGAGGCAGATCACCAGGCCTTTCTCCCTAGTCTATCTTACCTTCCCTAGACAGTGCTTATAGTACTGGGAATAGGGAGAGCTGGCCAGTACTACTCACTTTCAAACCCCTCAGGGCTGCCGAGCTCCCACAAGAATGAGAGCCCACCCACAGCTCCTGCTGTGGACTTCAGGGACCCTCGCTCGCTTGCATGCTGTGTGTGCCTGAGCCGATAAAGGTTTCCTCCTGGGGACTCCCCTCTCAACCCTTGACTGGGGCAACCAGACAGAATGGCGCTGACTTCTTGGGGGGCTGGTGAGAGAGGGGTGTGGAGGAGAGAACCAGCAGCAAAGGGCATAGCTCATCCTCCGAGCTGAGAGCTGTGTGTACGGAGGAGCACATACACTCAATTATGCGTGCATGCACACACTTAGGAATATACGCAAAGGGATGAGTGCATGTACATGCACACACATAAACACACATGCAGAAGCACACCCAACCACATACACGTGCAAACAATCCAACTACACACACGCAGAAGCATGCAGAGACACTCATGTACACACATACCACAGCAGGCCTGTGCCCACACATACATCCACGTGCACACACGTAGAGTGCATGCACATACCTGAGCCCACACTCATACTCCTCCCAGGTCCCTGTTCTTTACAAGTTTAAGGTATCCCACAGGCCCCAGGCATTTTCATGGCTTCTGGGGGAAGAGACTGACCATGTGATCCACCCTTAGCTGTAAAAGGGAGGAGAGGAGAGGGTAGGGCAGGGCAGGGGCATGGAAAGTGTCAGTTATTTGAGCTCAGCCAATGGGAGAGGCGGTGGGAACTCCTCCAGACAACCCCCTCCCCTACTCCCCCACCTTAGCTCACCTGCAGGCAGGCCACCCCGATGCCCACTGCCCCCATGAGAAGCAGGTGGTCTGCCAGGAACTGCTCCAGCTTGGTAATGCAGCCTCCCTGCAAGGTAACCACAGGTTAGTCTTGTCCTGGGCCCAGGAGTGGGGAGGGAAGGTTGGCCCTGATATGCATTCTGCCGAGGCTGAGGAAATGCCTGAGAATTAAAGGGTCTGGCCCCGGCCCTTGAACCGCACATAGGCTTATTAGATGATTCCGGGGGCATGTCATGCATGGTGACCTAGCTCTTCCCACTAGGAGCTGCTTGTCCCCAGGGCTTGCTAGAGACCTTTGCAGGCCCAGGTACTGTGGTTGCCCCGGTCAGTGTTCTGTCCCCAACCCATCTGCCCAAGCCCACTTTCCTGGGGCTCGTGGGGGCTCTGAGTGCTGGATGGGATCCCCTCGATGGCCCAGCTTGAGCTCGGGTGCTCACCTCCACCTTGTAGATGTTGGAAGGGTGGGCCCGCTGGCCGCAGCGTGCCACCACTGTCTTGCAGCAGCTGTCAGGCACCCGGCGGCCCTCGGCCTCCTGAGATAGGATGTAAGCACTGTGCTGCCAGTCGGCCGAGCTGTTGCTGCCGCAGCACTTGAACTAGGGGGACAGGCAGAGGCTGTGGGTGAGAGAAGGCCAGGGTGGGGGCCCTCGAGCCCCTGGGTGATGGGGCTGGCAGGACACACTACTCAAACACTCATCCAACACCGACTGGTTCCCCTGATGATTTTCCCTTCCCCTGTCTTGAGCAGGAGCTGGTCCCTCTGGGGTTCTTCTTTCCAGGCCCAGGGCAGAGGCTGCCTGCAAGACACCTGTTTCCTAGCTTTTGTATAACAACCCGTTGAAAAACCCGTTGCCGTCGAGTTGATTCTGACTCATAGCGACCCTACAGGACAGAGCAGAACTGCCCCATAGGGTTTCCAAGGAGTTGCTGATGGAGTCGAACTGCCGATCTTTTGGTTAGCAGCTGAGCTCTTAACCACTGCGCCACCAGGACTCCTTTGTATAATAGAGCTCCTTAAATGGTACATCATTATTTTTATCATCTCTACTTGGACGTATTGTCTTTCAAAAAAAGCCCTTTCTTGGCCAGACCAGCATGGTCCTCTTCACCTTCACTGACATGCAGGGCCAGGGAGCCCCAGATGGCATTACATATAGTCCCTTTTTTGCACCTCCCCAGGGCAGGCCTCTGTTTCCTAGACTGAACCCCAAAGGCACCCAAACCCTTTAAGGAGATGACGCAGTGTCTTAGGGCAGAGAGGGTCTGCAAGAAGATGTAGGGGGGATGGATGCTGGCGGGTTCCTGGGAGAATGGGGTGTGTACTATTCGGGGGCAGAGCCCAGGGCAGAGGCAGAATGCACAGGGATGGTTTCCTGGTCATCCAGTGAAGCAGGACCCCAGGGATACCCTGCCAGAGGCTCCAAGGCCCCCATTCAGGCCTCGAATCCTCAGAGCCCCAGCTGTGCAGGACACGAAGGGCTCCCAGAGGCCACAGTGTGGGCAGATCACCACTGACCAGAGGGCCCAGTGTGAGTGCTCAATAAGACCTGGGATATTTCCCACCATTCCAGGCGGGGACCCCAGTCTGACTGAGAGAGAATTCCCAGGTCCAAGTGGATTCCAAAACAATCAGAAATTGGTATTTCTTGCCATCTTGAGTTGGGAGACTGAGATACATGGGATGTGTGTGCGTGTATCACATTCATTTCTGTTAACAAGTGTTTGTTAGGCACCTACCGTGTGCCAGGAAGGAAGCTAAGCAGTAGTGTTGAAACATGAATAAGATACAGTTCTTGCCTGGAAGTAGCCTGTCCTGTCCTGATCTTTGTCTCCAGAGTTTCTCAGAGTGTGAGGTCCAACCAGTGTACACTTCCTTGAGGACAGGGTAGACCCAGCAGCATGTGCTGACTATGTGTGTTTTCAAGAGTCCCCCCAGGCCCCACCCCAGGTCCTGGCCAAACACGTGTGTGTGCATGTGTATGTGGGCCCATGTGTACCCATATACCCATGGCCACTATTTCAGAGAAGAAGGGTCCCCCGCTGTGCAGAGCTGACTGAGCACTGAGCCTGAGTCTTGGGGAGATGGGGAAGGTGCCTCCTCAATTGGATTATGATATCCCTAGAGCTTGGAGCCCACCTACCTCTACCTGCCTGACTTTCCCAGGTTCAAGACCAAAGCCTCAAGTCCAGGTGAGGTCTGAGGAGGCCGGTGGAGCAGAGATGATGAGGGGAGGGAGGCAGAAGAGGGACCAGAGTGGGCAGATGAAGTTGCCTCAACTTTTTAGGAATAAATCAGGATTACAGAGCTGCCAAATAGAACTTTCTGTGATGATGGAAATGTTCTATATCTGTCCTGTCCAATGTAGTAGCCACTAGCCACATGGAAGAGCACTGGTGGTGCAATGGTTAAGCACTCAGCTGTTAACTGAAAAGTCTGAGGTTCGAACCCACCGGCTGCTCTGTGGGAGAAAGACTGGGCGATCTGCTCCCATTAAGATTACAGCATAGACAACTCTAGGGGGCAGTTCTACTCTGTCCTATAGGGTCTGTGAGTTGGAATCAACTCGATGGCACACAAGGACAAACAATGGTCATGAGGGTCTAGTGAGCACTAGAAATGTGGATAGTGTGACTAAGAAATGAGTTTTTAGTTTTAATTTAAAACGCCAACAGCCACATGCGGCTAGTGGCTACCATCCTGGACTGTATAGGTCTGGAGGGCCATTTGCCCACCCCCTGCCTCTGGCCAAGGCCGTGGGCCTCCTTGGAAGAATCTGCCAAGACTCATTGGGGAAAAAGAATCCACTTTCTATCCCCAGCGTTCTGCCTGATGGCTCTCAATTGGAAAGTTCTCTCAGCGGCTTAACTGAGATATTCCTACCAGTTATGGTTCCCTCCTCGAGGGCCTGAGCACCCAGCTCTCCAAGGAATGGAGGAAGAAGGCAGGTCGTGCAGATGGAAGGAGCCTGGAGAGGAACTTCCTGGCCCGGATCCTTGCCAGGAGACACAGTTCTTCTCCTGGCACAGCCGGCTTCCTTCCCACAGGGGACCCAGAACAGGAAGGCAGCAGGGCGTGGGGTGCAGAGGAGGTAGTCACGGGGGAGCATAGTGGAGGCGAGGGCAGGGGAGGAGGAAGGAAAGGAGCCAGCACTCAGTAAGCACTTGTCAGGGGCAGGACTCATTGGTGGGGACTCCTACATATGTGATCATATTTAATACTCACACAACTGTAAGGCTATATGGATTTCATTTTAGAGATGTGGCAACTGAGCTCAGAGAGGGTAAGTAACTTGCCCAGGGTCACCCAGATGGGGGAGAGGAGGGGACAGAGTCAGGATTTGAACCCAGGTCTGTTTAGCTTGTACGCCCACGGGCCAGGGGCTTACATCCTGCTGCAGACGGTCCACCGAGGTTGTGATCTCCGTCGCTCTGGGCTGCCCGTAGTTCTCAGTCAGAGTCCGGTTCAAGTGCTGCTTTAGCTCGTCACTCAGCTGAGGAGGGTAGAGAGGGGAGGTGGAGTCAACAGGAAGTCCTCACCCCCACCCCAGAACCCCGGTACCCAGGCCTGCTCCAGAGCCATGCCAGCGAACTCTAGGACATAGGATGGCAGAGGTTTTCCAAACGGTGCAATGGAGTCCCAGTGGGAGACTTTCTAGATGTTCATGGAGAAGATGTTGCAAAAATTGGGGCCCTGAGCACTCAGGTGAGGGCAGAGGTGTGATGGGCTGAGCTGAGAAAGAGGCTGTGGAGGAGACCAGGGGTGCTTTTCAGTATCTATTTATTCTTATTTTGATTATGAGGTGATATCTGGTGGTGAAGTGGTTAAGAGCCTGGCTGCTAGCCAAAAGGTCGGCAGTTTGAATCCACCAACTGCTCCTTGGAAACTCTGTGGGGAAGTTCTACTCTGTCCTACAGGGTCACTATGAGTTGAAATCGACTTGATGGCAATGGGTATGTTTTTTTTTTTAACTGCAAACATTTACAGTCATTACTCTGGGGGCATTGTTTGGTCTGCATGGGCGCTGGCTTGAAACAACTGGCATAGTTGTACTGTCTCGGTCAGCCAGGTATCACCCTAGTCCTGACTGCAAATCTCTGAGTCAGAGGATACCAGGGCTGGAGAGGACCTGATGGGCATGTCCTCCTTGTTGAACGGAGGTGGGCGAAGACTGCTCCTGTCTTTTCAATCTGCCAGTTAACCTGGCCCAAGCCTTTCTCCTTGGGTGTCTTCAACAAATGGATTCATCCTCCACCTGTCCTTGGAAAGAGAGGGATGACCCCATCTCTCTCATGGAGAACTCCCACTCCCCAGCTCCCCTGCCAAAGATATCCTCATCAACAGCTGTAGCAGAGAGTTGCTGGAACTGGGTCAAGAGCTGGGATCCAGATGTGCAGAGGATTGCTGGGGGCCTGGGAAAGAGGGAGGAGGAGCCCTCGTGGCACAGTGGCTAAAGTGCTCAGCTGCCAACCAAAAGGTCAGTGGTTTGAACCCACCAGCCACTCCACAGGAGAAAGATGTAGCAGTCTGCTTCCATAAAGATTACAGCCTTGGAAACCCTATGGGACAATTCTACTCTGCTCTACAGGGTTGCTATAAGTTGGAATTTACTTAATGGCAATGGGTTTGGGTTTTTCTTTGTTTGTTTGTTTTTGGGAACGTGAACTACCCATGTGCCATGTGTCTCTGCCTCAGCTTCCCCCATCACAATGCATCCCCCCCTTTCCTGCATTGTTGTTGCTCCTGGGGGCACTGGTGGAGAATGTAGGAAGAAGAAACTTCTACTCACCTTCTGGTAGTACATGTGGGCCAGGACTCCTGCCACCAGCTCCACGAGGAAGATGACAAGCAACAAGCAGAAATACTAGGGTCAAGCAGAGGAGATGGTCACCACCGGGTATCAGGCCTGGGTAGGCAGATGGGGGTTTCAGGGAACGCCGTGGGCAAATGTTCTCCCAAAGCAGTGAGGTAGTCATATCTGCCAGGGACCTCATCACCCATACCATCTCCCTCCTTGTGCCAGCCTCTCTGGGCATACTAGCCTCTGCTGGCCGCAGGCTCTGAGTTCCGCACTAACCCCTCCACTCATTGGGCAGTTGTTGATCCATTAATCCATCCACCCCTCCAATACTTATTTACTACCTACTGTACGCCCGGGGACATTGGTGATCCAGTGGTAGAATTCTCCCCTTCCATGCTGAGACCTGGTTCGATTCCCTGCCAGCATCCCCCATCCACAGCCACCACCCATCTGTCAGTGGAGGCTATGATGCTGAATAGGTTTCAGTGGAGCTTTCAGACTAAGATGGACTAGGAAGAAAGGGCTGGGGATCTACTTCCAAAAATCAGCCAGTGAAAACCCTATGGATCACAGTGGTCTGATCTGTAACTCATTAAGGGTATGCTACAGGACTGGGCAGTATTTTGTTCCGTTGTGCGTGGGGTCACCATGAGTCAGGGGCCGACTCAACAACAGCTAACAACAACTATATGCCAGGTATCATGAGCAAGACAGTTATTGCCCTCAAGGAGCTCATAGGCTAGTGTGTGCGTAGGATGCAGATAAGCAAATCCTTACAATGTTGGGAAACCCTGGTTGCGCAGTAGTTAAGAGTTCAGCTGCTAATCAAAAAGTCGGCATTTCGAATCTACCAGGCGCTCCTTGGAAACCCTATGGGGCAGTTCTACTCTGTCCTATAGGGTCGCTATGAATCGGAATCGACTCGATGGAGACAGGTTTGTTTTTTTTTGTTTTTTTTTTTTTTGGTTTTTTACAATGTTGGGTTGTAAATGCTACTATGGGGTAAGCCCCAGAAACTATGGGAGGCCCTGGTGGGGTGGGGCAGTCAGAGAAGGCTTCCTGGGGAAGGTGACACCTAAGTGGCATCCCTAATGATGAGTCAGCATTTGCAAGGTGGAGGGAAGAGCATTCCAGGCAGAGAGGGCAGTATGTGCAAAGCCCAGAAGGTTGCAGAAAGCACGGAGGGTTTGTGTCCAGGGAGTGGAGACGGCGGATGTGGCTGGAGTGGAGGGTGCAGGCTGAGCGGCAGCAACCAAGACACGTGAAAAAGCAAAGGGAGAGGTCCTGGGAAGGTGATTCAGGTGCCACCTTCCAGCCCTGAGGCCCATTTCCCACCCTTCCTGGCCTTGCCGGGGCATTTTGAATTCCCCTCTCCACTGCGGGCCTTCCCCAGGCTCCAGGGCTGCTCTTCATGCTTCACGGGCCTGCTGATACTGCTGGCTGGTTTCCTGGCTGCTCACTGGACTGCGACCAGCAGGAGGCCGAGGGCTGCATCCTCTCCCCTCCCACCTGGCTTTACATAGTCAGGGAGGCTCCTAGGACACTCATTGACCCTGGTGTGTTCTTGCAGGAGTGCAGATAAAAACGCATGCCAGGCCCAAGTGGGCTGGGAGGACGCAGGGAGGGAGACAAAGCAGGCTGTGAGAAGCCAGGGCATCGGGCAGAGAAGAGGAGAAAGAAGAGCAGAGGGTGGCACTGTTGATGGAAACTGGCCCTGCTCTGGGCAAGCTCAGCTTCAATCATGGTCTTGCTGAGCGCTGGTGGGTGATGCCCCTCCTCCCCTAAGGCTGCCCCGCAGATACTGCCCATATACCCAGTAACACCAGGGCAGCACCCAGGGTCACTCGGATTCCTGACTTCTCAGGAAGGCCCAGCCTAGGAGTGGGATCTGAAGCTCTAGGGCTCATCACAGATGAAAAGGTGGGCAGAAGGGTATGTGAGCAGGACAGAGAGAGCTGGCAGGGGTAGGGACCACAGGGAGGGCAAGGGGCCATCTGGCCACGTCAGAAGCAATGCTAACCCATGGCCTGTAGCCTGGCCTGACCATCCTCCTAGCACACTCAGCAGGGGGCCTGGTAGGGGCAGGGTTTAAAAAACACGGTGGGGGCGGGGGAGGAAATTTCTTCCTGCAGAAAAAACTCAGACCTCAGAGCAAATCTACTTTTCAAGTTAAGTCAATCACTTCCGTGTCCCCAGCAATTTTATTAAGCCTTATTTTATCTAGTGGGTGACCCTGGGTGGTACAAACAGTTAAGGTACTTGGCTGCTAATCAAAAGGTTGGAGGTTCAAGTCCACTCAGAGGTGCCTCAGAAGAAAGGCCTGGCAATCTACTGCTGAAAAATCAGCCATTGAAAACCCTATGGAGCACAGTTATCCTTGATAGACTGGCATGCATGGAGTCACTATGAGTTGGAATCAACTCAATGGCAACTGGCTTGGTTTTGGTTTTTACTGTACCCAGCACGAACTGGGCACCGTCAGGGACACATGGAAGTGTACCAGTCTTTCTGAATAATGATGTCAGGCCAGCCCGTCGTTTGTGGCAAGCATATAAATGGAGGCTCCTGGCCCTTGCCCACCCTCTTCCCTTCCTGCTCCAGGCTCTACCCTGCAGCCCACACACTCAAGATCTGTCCATCCCTCCCCCAGGAACAGATGTCCACCAGCCATCCCTTGATGAGAATGTGGAGAGGGCCGGGTATGGCTGAAGTGTGGGTGCAGGCTAGGGGCACACACCTCTGGGGGCTGTCTGGCAGGGGTTTCCAAGCATCTGGGTATCCTGGGTGAGGTTTAGACATAGAGAGGGGTGTCTGCAGGCTCCATGAAGGCACATGCCTTTGGCCCCAGGGACTCCTGACTCCACGGGAGGGGTTTGCATGCAGGAGAGCAGAGTGGGCCCAGGCAGGGTATAAGGGTGGTACTGAAGGGTGTCCAGACTGAGCAAAGGCAGGAGGCTGACCAGGTCTGTGGTTGGCCCCTCCCTTGTGGAACCTCTGAGCAGTAAGTGCCTGAACACCTTAAGGACGCTGGTGGAGGGTCAGCCAACCTGGGTTAGGGTCCAGGCTCTGCCACTTTCTGGCTCTGGTTGGGTGGCCATGAGTATCTTGGTTTGAATTAGAAAAATGTGCTCCCACTCTGGAGGTCTGCAGCCTCCAGCAGGATGCTTGGCTCAGCTAGAGTTGGGTGGGCTGGATGTCAGCCCTCACATATCCCCTTGTGCAGGGCACTGAAGCCTCCCCGGCCATCCACAGTGGTCCAGACTGTGGGCCTCGAGCCTCACTTTCCCCACCAGTGAAAGAGGATAAAAATAGTATCACCTGCTATGCCTGCTGTGAGGGGCGGTGAGGATCCATGGAGCAGGGGAACTGTGTGCAATGACACTTTCTCAGTTAAGTGCTTCATTGTGATCTGGTGAGGCTCCTGCCAGCCCAGGGCCGGGGTCCAATGGCACAAGGTGAGTGGTACTTGGAAGACAGCGGCAGGTGCAGGGGGCCCAGGCCAGGTCACTGCCCTCCTGGCAGCAGTCCTGCCCATTACACAGGGCGTGGCTGCACCGATCCCACCCAGGAGGCTCTCCCGCACTAACGCAGCTCAGGACCCGGGGGCCAGGTGCTGGGCCCAGCAGCTCCTTTGACATAATGCCCTTACTACTGGCTCCAAATGGCCTCCACACCCCTGCCCCACTGTGGTACTCTGAGGCCGGCCTCATCTTGCCACCAAAAAACCAAACACCAAACCAGCTGCTGTTGAGTTGATTCTGACTCACGGTGACCCCATGTGTGTCAGAGTAGAACTGTGCTCCACAGGGTTTTCAGTAGCTGATTTTTCAGAAGTAGACTGCCAGGCCTTTCTTCTAAGGCACCTCTGGGTAGACTCGAACCTCCAACTTTTTGGTTAGCAGTCAAACATGTTAACTGTCTGCACCACCCAGAGACTCCCATCCTGCCACACAGGACCCTAAACGTAGTGACTGCTGGTGGATCCCAAGCTTCCTGGGTGTACCCTGAGTGCCTTCTGTGGCATGGCAGGAAAAGCCACAGAGTACCCACCCACCCCAAGAAGTCCGTGGCCTCCCGGAGGACCCAGGCCATCGGCACCAAGGAGGGTAGCCTCTTAGCATCTTGCCATCCTCCTGCAGGGGGTTGTAGGGGGGCAGCTCCTCTCTCCATCCCTGCTGCCAGCTTCAAGTCATGCTCGACGACAGCCCTGCAGATGTGGCAGTGTAGTGCTGCTTCCCAGGGGATGTCATTGCCACAGTTGCTACCGAAGATGGGTGGGGAAGAGGAATGGAGGGATGATGGGAAGGGAGCAAACCTGAACCACACCCCTTGATTTAATGGCAGGCTAAATCAGCACATGCCAACCCCTCAAAGACTTGTTCTGAGGCATCAAACAGGCTCTCAAACCTGATGGTGTTGTCAGGAGTCGGGAAGAGTTTTCCCAAGAGGCAGTGTGCGTAGTGGAGGTGCCTACTCCTCATGCAGCTCCAGCATGCAGAGACCACTTGCAGGGAAGCAACGGCCAGGGTGGGGGGCTTCGAGTGCAACCGTAAGCGGGGGTCAGGCAGCATACTGGATGGGGGCTCCAGGCAGCAGCTTTGGCGGCAGGAAAGCTGCAGGTGTGTGACTGCCCCCAGGAAGCAGGTGAAGGGCCTTGCTCATTTGGATGCTCTCACCCTGAGGACTGTCAGCCCACACTCAAGTGGCTGGCTCGAGTGCCTGGGAGGTGCGGCCAGGCTGGTGGGATTTCTGCCTTGTGATTTCATAGCCACGGACTCTAACAAATCTCTCTCCTTGGCCCCTCCATCCTTCTCGAACTCTCTCCCAGCCCATCTTAATCATCTCAGGACTCCTTTGACACCTGTCATCTGTCTGTACAAATCTGCACAGCATTCCCTGCATCCCTGTATATGGCTCCCTACGCACAGGCCAAGATGTCCAGCCTCCATGCCTTTGCTCTCACTGTTCCTCCACTGAGAATTCCAGTGCCTGCCTGCCCTTCCCTACACAGCTCAGTCACGGTCTCTGCTAGCCAGCCCCTAGCCGGCAGTGCCTGCCCCAAC